TAGGCACCTGCCACCACCCCTGGCTGTTTTTTAGAGATGGGATCTCACTCTTGCTTGGGCTGGTGTCCAGTGAGCTCAGATGATTCATATACCTTGGCCTCCCAAGTGCTGGGATTACAGGCATGAGCTAACAGCCCTCAACTCCTACTTTGTAAAGTGAGAAAAATCAATCAAGTGACTACTGATTTTATCCATTTTTCATTTCTGTGGGTGAAAACACACCACACACACATAAATCTAAGAAGAAAAAACTTACAACGGTGGTTCTCAACCTTCCTAATGCCGCAACCCTTTAATACAGTTCCTCATGTTGTGGTGACCCCTAACCATAAAATTATTTTCATTGCTACTAGCAACAAAATTAATTCACCACAACATGAGGAACTGTATTAAAGGGTCGCGGCATTAGGAAGGTTGAGAACCACTGACTTAAAAAATGGAGTAAACTGTCAATTTTTCAGTGTTAATAAAATGTGCCTACTGAGGAATCCTGCCTATATTACACACTTTAAAACTAATAATTAATTTGCATTTTGGGAAGAAAGAGTAAGTCCACAAACTCAATTTCAGTATTAAATCCTTTCACAAACTCAATTACAGTATTAAATCCTTTTACAAACTTCTGTCCAGACTGTCATGTCAAATTGACAATAGTGCATTTATGATCCAGGTCTAATCTCACACTTTTTAGCAAAATTACAAATTTTAATAAGGAGAGAGTAATTCTCAGGGAAAATAATCATTATAGTGATCATAGTATGTGAATACCCTCCAGATAAGCACAACTCTTATCAATTCTAATTTCGACCTGCCATGGAATCTGTGAAGTCATTCGCCAAATTTCTTTTTGCCAAGAGGTAAAAAAGTTTTAATTTATTTCAAAACATTTGTCTTCTCCTGAACAACTAGTTATTCTTTCTCACTGTGATAACTTAAAAACGTCCAAAGAGGTCGGCACGGTGGCTCACACCTGTAACCCCTGCACCCTGGGCCTCCCCAGGCGGGTGGATTGCCTGAACTCACCGGTTGGGAGACCAGTCTGAGTCAGAACTAGACCCCGTCTCTAAAAATAGCCGAGCGCTGTCGTGCGCACCTGTAGTTCCAGCTTCTTGGTAGAGGCAAGAGAATCGCTTAAGCCCAACAGTTTGAGGTTGCTGTACGGAGGGCGACAAAGTGAGACTCAGTCTCAAAAAAACCCCAACAAAATCGTCCAAAAAAAATCTTGCAAAATTTGCGTTATAGCAAAACGACTCTGCAGGCGTCTGTGTCGGTAAGGAGGGAACACTTAGAAGGAGAGAGGGTACTGATCATCTCAACCAGCGATTTCCACATTTGGAATCCCGTCCCGAAATCTCGGCAGAAGCAGGGAAAGCGAACGCGCAGTAGACTCATCCGGGGCGCTGTGACCAAGGGGCTACGGAAAGCGTCAGCCCACGGGTCTCTCCCCCGCCTCGGGGCCCCTCAGTCACGCGTGGGAATTCTAACTTTCACCCTGGGAAGGAACTTCACGTTCCTTGTGACACACTCTTCAATGACCTTCATCCAGTCGCCCTCACTTCTTCGGTCTCTCGAAATCCCCCGAGGAGCCGTCGCCACCTGACTGAGGCCAAGGCAATACACCCACACCACGCGACGAGCCTGAGCCCAGCAGAAAGGGGTGCAAAGCAGCACCCTGAACGCTTTCTCCCACCTCAGCTCCGGCTCCACCCGCCAACTGAACTCAGCTCAGAGGCTTGCAGGCGGGCGGGCTCCGCCTTTGAGCCCCGCGGGGGTCGTGCAGCGGTGGAGGGAAGGGAGTCCAGGCCCAGTGGCCCAAGGCCCTCTTCGGGGCGGGGCTTCGGCGCCGCCCCGCCCCTACCCCCACGCCCTGATCCACTCGCCCCCGCAGTAGGAAAGGGAGAGGGAGGGGATAAGGAAAGTGCTGTTCTGTGGAAAGGGGCGGAAGGAGGGGGAGGAAAAAAGGGAACAGAAACATGGCGGTCAGCTGTCGGGACGGCGGTGCTGCGGGAAGCTCCTAGGAGACCTGCCGCCCGCATCGTACAGCCGCCAGGAGAGCCGATTCGCCGGCGCGGGCTTCAGCTCCCGGCCGTTACCCTTGGCTGCAGGCGGCGCCCCTCGGGACCCAGGCGGACAGGCGGCGCAGGCGCAGATTGGGCCGTAGCGGCGGCCGCCGGAGCAAGTCCCCCGCCCTGCCCGGCCGAGGGCGCCCAGGCAGCGAACCGGCGCTTGCACGCCCCAGGAAGGAGTTTTGTCTGGGTGGCGCTGACGAAGGAGTTGGCGGCAGGTGAGCCTGCGGCTCTGGGCCTTTCGCAGAGGAACCCTGCTCTGTGCGTTCGCGAGTCCTGCGCTCCAAGGCGGGGAGGGCGCGGGGCAGGTAGCTTCAGGGAGGGCTGAGTTCCCGGTGGCCGGCCCGCGGGGGGTCGCTGAGGAGGCGGAGAGTGGCTGGGGCTGGCTTTCCCGGCCTAGTTTCTCCGCGGTTTCCGGGGGCGGGGAGTCCCTGGAGCCTGCGGGAGGTGCTGGGGAAGAAGTTGCTCTTGGAAGGCCTCCCCGCGCCGCTGCTGCCTGGGCGCTTCAGAACCACTTGCGTGCTTCCACAAGGGGTCTGGGCCCGAGGGACCGGCCGGGTGGGCGTAGGCTGGGGAGGGAGCGGGATCTCGGGTTCCCTGGGGAAGGAGGGGGGGGGAGGTGACCGAGCGGACGGAAAGCTGGGGCCGGGGGTGGTGGTGGTGGCCTCTCGGGAGAGGTTGTGGGACCAAGGGGGTTGGGGGACTGAGGGCAGGAGAAGAGGAGGCCCAGGCAGGTGTCGCAGGTGAATTGAGGACATTTCCATCCATACCTTACGGTGGCCAATCCTCGGGGTTTCTTTGTGGGGTATGACTTTTAGGAAGGCGGGTTCCTTTCAACTCCAGAGTAACTAAACACAAATAAAACCAACTAATGAGCCTTTAGTGCTGACTCTCGCAAAGAGCTGGAACTTTTTGCCTTGAGGATGCTGTCATGTCTCTCCCCACCCTTGTTTTTCCTCCATAGGCCTTTTTCCTTCTGAAGACCCGTGCTAATCAGAACAAATAAGGAATGTCCCAGTTTTCAAATAGTACCCCCTTCTCCCATTATGTGTTTGTTTCATATGGGAAAATTTAGGGCAGTTACAACAGTTATTTGTGCAACTGTAAGAGAAAGTGCTATCTGCAGACCTTTAGCTGTCTGCACTCTTGCCGCAGAGAGATTGTCAAGCAATGTAGCCTGAGAAGTTGACCTACTGAGCCTGTTTAATTGTGTGCAAACCCTGTTGGTGCTCATTTTTCCTAGAACCCACTTTGGGTAGGAGTGGGTCTAGGGGTAGGTCTTACCTTTCCGTCTGGGTATAGTAGGATACGGGAGAATGTTAGTGCTGAGAAGCTAAGTTTTAACTACTTGATTTGGAGTGATGCTGTGTATTAAGCTATCTAAAATGCAGGGTGTTGTATGATTTTTGTGTGTTTACACGGTAAGAGTAAAAATTAGTTGCAAAACGAAAACGCTATCTCTGAGCATTAAAATAATAGCTGTTTTTGATCAGTATAACCATGAAAAAACTCTTATATTTTCTGCCCTGTTCTTTGTATTGCTATTAAAAGAGTTGGTAAACTTCTTGGTGTAGGACTGGTAACTCGTCAGGGAACTTAAGTTTGTGTTCATGAACATGATCTACCTTTCACATAGGCTTACTCCAACTCGTTTTTTCCAGTAATGGTAAAGGGTTTTCTGCCACTCAGTCCACACTTTTCCCTTCGTTAATATCTTTGTTGACAATTTTTTGAAGTACAGTAGTTGATTAAGATTAGGGTTTTAATCTTTTTTTAAGTTTTTTAATTCTTTTTTTTAGAGACAGTCTCACTTTATCACCTTTGGTAGAGTGGCGTGGTGTCACAGCTCACAGCAACCTCCA